ATTGGATCTATACCCAACTTCTTCTGTCTGGATCTTCTGAATAATGCGAGGGGCCTGAAAACTTTGATGGACTCACTCTAATGCTATAACACAAACTCATGACCCAATGCGGCTTCAATATGTGTTTAATCGAGTAAAATGAGCTATTCTTGCCACTTTGACGTCAATTTTAAAAGTAATCAACTATAAGTTGTGCTGTTTTTGACAGATTATATAATGCTTGAAATAAGCTTTGACTGATTCGGTCAAGTGGCAAGTGTGAGATATTTGAGAGATTTATAAATTACACATAACTTTAGCAAGGAGAGGTCTGGAAAAAGCGTTCAGGCAATGAGGATCCAGCTCAAGTCTAGTTATTTGCTCCTACATTTCTTAAATTTTTGTCATTGCAAGTAATTCTAATTCAGTTTTATATGTCATTTTAGGATACGGGTATAGTGAAACTTCCAATATCAGGTATATTTTACTCCCATATTTCACCTCGCCTTTGCCACGTAAACGCCTCTATTTTGGAGCCAATGTAATATGGCCAAGAAGAGGCATTTCGAAAGACAAAAGAAAAGGACAAGGGATGTGAACTATTATATCGCTATCCACACTTAATCACCTAAATCTATCATGAACATTCAAAGTAAACGCAAATTGTCCAGTTATTTAGCAATTGTATTCTAAAGAAAATGGATAAGGTTTGGCTATCTTTCCTTGCGGAATTCAAGTATCGCCTTGTACAATGGTCACCTCTCGGTGTTACCGAAGCTCTACGGGCCTCTTTTTATGAGGTATCTACGTTCTCCCTTGTCTTTACTAACAGTTCCGAACTAGAAAAACGCTTTCATGGAATGGTAAACTGCTTCATCTTAGCCGGTGTATCCATGCTTTTTTTAAATAAATTTATCTCTAGCATATCCTCCAGGCTTTTCCATATATATTTGGTTGAAAAATATGAGTAAGTATACTGTAGTCTCCAACTTCTGGCTAGCTGGTTCGCAAACTACACGATCACAAGTATTTAGATTACATGGAACTAGCAATCTGGTTTGATAAATGACCAAAGATTGTCTTTGCTTCAGATTAGGACAATGAGCAAATTCAGACAATTTGTAATCTCGTCAGTGCATTTGGTAGAACACTCTGTGAGTTCGACCTCAAAGCTCGTTATTAGCTGAGCTTCTTGGTAGACATAAAATAGCAGTAGTGCCAGAAGTAGTATATTATTTTCGCAACAAATACTTTCAAATAGTCTATTATTACAGATTAAAAATGCGCCAAAAGGCGAGGATTTAGTTCTGCCCCAAAAAGTATTGTTAGCACTTGCTGTAGACTGCAGGTACAAAATTATATGCCTCCAGTCCCTTTCTAGGACTTGGGGCGAATTATCAAAGTAAGCCGGTTGAATGCTGATTTTCCATCATGACAGCAAGATTTGTTTATGCTATCCAATAAAGTGGACGTGACCGTGTGAATGCAATCTCCATGTCGCGATGACGGACACTCCTATGAGCCCGGGGCCGGACCAAACAAAAGAGCATTGGTATGCAAAAATAGCACGTCTACATGAATTGCTTAGATAAACAGTACTGTACAGCTCCTCTTTTGCCTTTGACAACCGTGACTAGAACAAAGGAGGCCATCCCATTTCTGTATAACTAAGAACCAAGGACCGCAAATGTTCACGCTGATCGTCATATTTTGCTCTAAGTAGAACGAACACGAGAAGATAGGCATCTGGAATGCCTCGAGTGGAAGTGTTTTATTCAATTATGCAAGCTCTCGAATAAAGTATTTTCGCACAGCAAGACATGCAAAAGATCCTATCTAATTGCACATTGCTTTTCCCCTATGCATTAACGGATACGTTTGAATAAGCAGAGACTATGTGTAAAAAAGCATGAATTCCCTCGTGTATTCTTCAAGCCCAGCCACTCTCATATTAAGCGCCATTTACAATTCCTTTTTTCTCATCCCTCTTTCAAGTTATTTGTTCCAAACATTCTTCATCTCCATATCGAAGAGCCCCTTTCCCTGCTATTCGTTTGAATCTGGTCCCTATTTGGAAGGAAAAGGTGAGACTCTAAATGGGAAAACCTGAATGTGAGGAATATGGCAAAAAGTCGGATGAGCCTTGAACACCTTTCGGCCGCAATTCGGTACATCCGCTCGCCGCAACTAGGGGATAGTGCTCCATTTCTTTTCGTATCAAAAGACGCTCTTTCATAGGAAGTCTCCTGTGCTCGTGTTCAAAGTGATCCAGCTTAAGCTCAACTGATTACAAGGCCTTAAGCATATTCCATGGGTCAGCGCCTGAATTTGTCTCCAAAGATCATATTTGCAGCCGAAACGACTAGTCATGTTTTCATACTGTGCATCCATTCTTCGCCTTAATTCAAGAATAGATGACGTCATGGTTGGAGAAGATTTAGAACTGGAGGTCAGTTGTCTGGATGTATCTCTTCAGTTAGATATGCTGACCTTCCAGACCCTGAAATTGCCCAAACTTACTTATTTCGAAACAGTTGAGGCTTGGTAAGTTAACAGATACGATTGTTAGGCCTCACTACTGTCCCACCTGAGACCCACCAGTAAGTCCTAGGCTCGAATCCAGCCGGAGGGTATGATTATACTTGGACGAGGAACAAAGTGCCATCCACTCTTGATGAAAAGGACGAACTCAAGCCCTGCGCACAATGCAGCCCTGAAATAGAGACCGGCCATCGTGATGCTTTCACTCTTGAGGGACTTTAATTGCCTTCAGTGGGCATCGGGGACATGGCACTTGGCAAGACAAGGCAATTACAAAAGTGTCAAACAGCCTGAGGCCTCAAAACCATGTCCACATCTCCACAGGGGGCGAAAACTTAGGCCGACTTGTTGTGCTAAGCACGAGACAGATCACATATTTCGCTTGACATGAATTTCAAATAGTCTTATCTTTTCCTGTATGACTTTTGCCCATAAATACTTCTGTACTCCACACCAGCAGACCAAATTGCTCCTGTGCATAATAATAAAGGGTTCCGACGGCAGACCCCGTCAAAAACAAGCTGCTGGAGTAGACGAAAGTCTCCATAGTCATCACCTGCCCTGAGTCCGCCAATGAAATCATGTGAAGCGGCCAAAATGCCCAAACGGTAGGAGAGATAATGGCCCCTTCGGATGCACCTATTTAGTGCCAAAGGCAGCATTTATAGTACTGCTTCTATGATGGACTAGTGACAGGACACCACGCTCCACTTTTCACCGATAAAAAGATGGGCCAATCTGAAAGTGGTTGATCTCTTTCCTATTCTTGTTACTTTGTGTGGAGCAAAGCAATTATAAACGGCCAAATAAAATACAATAACGGGCTGAATAAACTGAATCTATGTGATAATATTGCAGAAACCAAAAGCAGACTTACCTGTCAATTACAACTGGATCAGACGGTGTCTCATTTCGGTTTCCACAGCTCTTCTTGTCACAGCAACGACTGCACATAACTTCGTGTGTCAGCAAGACTCGACACATCTCCGGATTCTTGTCCTGACCTTCGTATGCGATAGCCTAGATACAGATAAAATATTAACATGTGAACTTTGTTGCCCAGTAGTAGGAGATTTGACACAAATGTTTGGGGAGCCAAAGTACAAGAGTTTAAATCTCCTCAAGCGTAATTCGCACGACCTCTTTCATACGAAAGTTGGATGGGGGAGTATCCCATTTTACCATCCATAGGAAATTGTGATTTTATAATTGGGCTCACTGCAATCCAACCCCGAAGCAATTGTCTGCCCTTCTGTGACAAATTCTAGAGAATAATAAACACTTCTTTAAAGACTTTGTGCTTCAAATGACAGAGATAGAATGATGGTGCGCCAAGGACCAATAAGCCCGTCTAGACAATTACAACCTAAGTGAAATTTTCATTCGGGTCCCTTCCATCCAATAATTAATAGAAAGGGAAGACTAAGAGGATCATCGCTTTGTTCATCAGAACGAACTTTAGTAACCATTATGGTATATGCATATACATATACTCTTTCCCTTCAAAACTACTTGATCAAGCAAATATTTCACATATATCGCATAACTAGTCAAGTGAATTTATTTAATGACGGCTAAAATAGGAGTAGAAACTAATTAGAACATGTAATTTGCCTTCAAATTTATTCTGTTTTAAAGTTTTGATAATACATTCAGTTTACTCAATTGCTAGTAATTTTGTACACAGACTCGCTTGGCTTAGTTTGATTTCCATCATTCGGCATCCTCATTAGGGGACATACATTCAAGCCTAGATCAAGGTTGCCGTTTAGTAGCAGTAGCAGATAACCATCTGAACCCACTTAAAGATGAAGAAGAAGAAGGTTGTGAGAAGAAGTGTTCTGCTAATGGGATATCGAACAATCGACTGGCATTCATTTCCAGCACACCCCAGCATAAATTCAACTTGTACCATAATACATTCCCTTGGAGACTCTAGGAAAGGTAACGATGGAGTAGAGTTTTTGTATTCTCTAACTATCTTCACTATGCCCTCTAGTCAACAAAGAAAGCTCCTCTCCATTTGTGCAAAAAATATGATTTAAATAATCATGGGTGGTACCTGCTTTGTCGCCGAATCCACGAGACGTATGTAAATATCCGCGTCCTCTTGTATTCCTGGTAAATTCGAGAAATGGTAAAAGTGGTACATTTTAGCCTAAAAATTATAGTATTATCCTAATCAGATATATATATATATATATA